AATGAGAACACAGAGAAAGAAAGAGTAAGTAGGGAGGAGAGAGGAGTCACAGGAGGAGAAACAAAGAGAAGGGAAAATGGAGAAACTAAGGGGAAAGAGAGGAACACCGAGGGAGAAAAGAAGGACAACCAGAGGAAAAACAGGAAATTCTACATGGGAAGAGAGGAACACCAAGGGAAAAGAAAAGAGCACCGAGTAGAATAGAGGAACAAAGACATAGAGAAAGAAGGATAAAAACAACGTGTAGAAATAGAAGGGAAAAGAACGAAAAAGGCGGAACAGAAGGGAGAATCAGGGAGGTGGGACAGATAAAACGGGAAGAAAGAGAGAGTGGAGGTGACGGAAAGAAACTGAAAGAATGGCATACAGAGAAGCATAAAGAGGATAGGGAGAAAGAGGGAGTAAGTAGGGGGAATAAGGTAACAGGAAAAGAATTCAAACAGAAGGGAAAAAAGGGAGAAAACACATTTTCAGCTTCTTTAGGGAAAAGAAGACTTCGTATATTAAGAAAAAATGGATTCAATATAAGCCCCGCCCTCCCACCCTTTCCCAATTTTAATGAATATTGAGCTGCAGGGAGGAGTTTAGTTACAAAATCCTCATTTACCATACCTCATTTCTTTATAAGAAGTTACCATATGAAATATGTTTTTAAAAGTGTTAATTTTTTTAGAGAAATATTGATGTTATAATTGAGATCCGGGCGGGTGGGTGGGGCTTAATTTTTGTTTTGTTTTTTTAATAGATATATAGAGTTTTCTTTCAACAACAGGAAAGTTAAACATATTGTCAATTTCTTGTTGGGAAAAGAAGACTTCGCAAATTAAGAAGAAAAAAAAAAGAAATATAAGCGCCGCCCACCCATCCCTTCTCAATTGTGATGAATACTTTATTCATTGCTAGCTGCAGGGCGGAGTTTAGTTGCTAAATCCTCATTTCTCTACAAGAAATTACCATATGAAATATGTTTTCAAAGGGTTTAATTTTTTAGAGAAATATTGATGTTACAATTAAACTCCGCCCTTCGATGTGATTAGTAATGAAAAACTCATCACATTTGAGATCGGAACGGATGGGTGGGGCTTAATTTTTGTTTTTTTTTAATATATAGAGTTTTCTGTCAATAACAGGGTAGTTTAACCCATTTTCAGCTTCTTTAGAGAAAAGAAGACTTCGTATATTAAGAAAAAATGGATACAATATAAGCCCCGCCCACCCACCCTTTTTCAGCTGTAATTAATCGTGAGCTGCAGGGAGGAGTTTAATTACAAAATCTTCATTTATTTATAAGAAATTACCATATGACATATATTTTCAAAGGGTTTAATTTTTTAGAGAAATATTGATGTTACAATTAAACTCCGCCCTTCGATGTGATTAGTAATGAAAAACTCATCACATTTGAGATCGGAACGGATGGGTGGGGCTTAATTTTTGTTTTTTTTTTTTAAATATATAGAGTTTTCTGTCAATAACAGGGTAGTTTAACCCATTTTCTGCTTCTTTAGGGAAAAGAAGACTTCGTATATTAAGAAAAAATGGATACAATATAAGCCCCGCCCACCCACCCTTTTTCAGCTGTAATTAATCGTGAGCTGCAGGGAGGAGTTTAATTACAAAATCTTCATTTAGTTATAAGAAATTACCATATGAAATATGTTTTCAAAGGGTTTAATTTTTTAGAGAAATATTGATGTTACAATTAAACTGCGCCCTTCGATCTGACTAGGAATGAAAAACTCATCAGAATTAAGATCCGGGTGGGTGGGGCTTAATTTTTTTTTATTAATATATAGAGTTTTCTTTTAACAACAGAGTAGTTAAACATATTGTCAGTTTTCTGTTGGGAAAAGAAGGCTTCATATATTAAGACGAAAAGGACCAAATATAAGCCCCGCCCACCTACCCCTTCTCAATTGTGATGAATACTTTATTCATCGTGAGCTGAAGGGCGGAATTTCGTTGCAAAATCCTCATTTCTACCATATGAAATATATTTTTAAAAGGGTAGAATTTTTTAGAGAAATATTGATGTTACAATTAAACTCCGCCCTTCGATGTGATTAGTAATGAAAAACTCATCACAATTGAGATCGGAACGGAAGGGTGGGGCTTAATTTTTTTTTTTAAATATATAGAGTTTTCTTTCAATAACAGGATAGTTTAACCCATTTTCAGCTTCTTTAGGGAAAAGAAGACTTCGCATATTAAGAAAAATGGATCCAATATAAGCCCCGCCCACCCATCCTTTCTCAATTGTAATGAATCGTGAGCTGCAGGGCGGAGTTTAGTTAGAAAATCTTCATTATCTACAAGAAATTACCATATGAAATATGTTTTCAAAGGGTTTAATTTTTAAAAAAATATTGAGGTTAGAATTAAACTCCGCCCTTCGATCTAATTAGGAATAAAAAACTCATCACAATTGAAATCTGGGCGGGTGGGTGGGGCTTGCTTTTAGCTTTTTTTAATATAGAGAATTTTCTCTGAACAGGATAGTTAAATATATTGTCAGTTTCTTGTTGGGAAGGAAGACTTTATATATTAAGCAAAAATGGAAAAAAAAACGCGCCCACCCACCTTTTCTTCTGTATTGTGATGAATCGTGAGCTGCAGGGCGGAAATTAGTTGCAAAATAATTTCTTTACAAGAAGTTACCATATGGAATATGTTCTCAAAAGAGTAGAATTTTCTAGAGAAACAAAAGGTTACAATTAAACTCCGTCCCTCGTCTGATTAGGAATGAAAACACATGATTATTGAGATCGGGGTGGGTGGGTGGGGCTTAATTTTTGCTTTTTTTAATATGGAGAATTTTCTCTCAACAACAGGATAGTTAAACATATTGTGAGTTTCTTGTTGAGAAAAGAAGACTTCGTGCATTAAGAAAAAATGGACAAAATATAGGCCCCGCCCACCCACCCCTTCTCAATTTGATGAATCGTGAGCTGCAGGGCGTTTAGTTGCAGAATCCTCATTTCTTTACAAGAAATTACCACATGAAATATGTTCTTAAAAGGGTAGAACTGTCTAGAGAAATAATAGGTTACAATTAAACTCCGCCCCGCATCTGATTAGGAATACAAAATTCATCGCAACTGAAATCGGGGCGGATGGGTGGGGCTTAATCTTTGTTTTTTTTATATGTATAGTTTTATTTTAACAATTTTTTGCTGTAAACAACAAGATATATTATAATAAAAAACATAAGAAAATTGAAAACTCGTGAAATTGAAAAATCTAATAATTGAAAAATTAAAAGGTGAAAACTCGTGAAATTTCAAATCGAAAAACTACGAAATCTAAAAACTGAAACATCCAAAAGTTGGAAAATCTGAAAACTGGAAAAGTTAAAAATGAAAACTCGAAGAGATATCGTAAAATTAAAGAACAAATAAAACGAAAAATTGAAAAATTGCAATTTGAAAAACTGACAGGACGAAAAATTGAAAAAACAAAAAACAAAATCGGAACATTGAAAAACTGAAAAATTGTAAACATAGACAAAATAAAAAACTGAAACGAAAAACTGCAAACAGAAAAATTAAAAATTGAAAATTCGTAAATTCAAATCGAAAAATTGCAAAATCTAGAAATTGAACTGAAAAGTTGAAAAATTGAAAACTTAAATTTGAACTTCACAACTCGAAAAATGAAGAAATTTTCTTTTGTGAGTATGCGGCTGTCACATCAATGCCACATATGTGTCGACTGCCGGACCCAAATCCCGAAAGGTACCCAAATCCGAATTATCCCGGCTATTTAATACACGCCAGTCCAAAAATCTCCCGGAAACCCTCTCTCACGTTCAGTGCTCCTAATTGCGTCGAGCCGTCTTGCGGAATTACCCCTATCAAATCCCGCGTTTTTCCGTGTGCGTTGGATTAATGGCGTGAATGTGATCGTTCCGCCTGCCTCGTCCTGCAACACTCCATAAATAGGAAATCCAGAACGGCATGACCACATAACGTTATTTCGATTGACTGGTGAACACTTGAAAAGCACTTTTTGGCTATAGAAATCGGCGCTTCCACCGGCACATCCATAGAATTTCAATCAATAGCGTCATTCCCGTCGGGATACGGCTGGACCAAAAACGTGCCACCCTGAAAAAATAATAACCACTCTGTGATGCCTACCGGAGGAACGCTAATCCCAAAACGGAACCGGAACTTAACCGTCGGATAATAAATCCGCAATGCTTTATCGGCTGCCAGCCGGTGTTGTTGTGCAATCGATGACCGAATGCTCCAGACAAACGCGGAAGATGGAAAAAATTAATTGACCGTGTGCCAGAGAGTGACTGCGCGGCTCGGAAAAGAAGGCGCTGAGTGGCGGCGACGCTTTTAGACGTGGAGGCGGCGGAGCGACAGGTAGGGACGCAGAATCAAAAGTAAGTGAAACGCGGAGGGTCTTTGACTACATGTAAATTCAGAAACGGGTTTATTGCCGCCCCCAAGAAAATTTAAGTCATCGAAGCCAGAAATACTTATCAGAACGAAAAAAGCCTGCTTTGCTGTCAAACAACGTCAGGTGTGCACAAATTTAAATTTGAACGTTCTGTAGATCTTCGACAAATTTACTTACACAACAATAACTCGGCTTCGGAGGCTCCGAACGGGAAAGTAAATGAATAGCTCGCTGTCCTTTATCCGCCAAATAAACGTTTCTTGTTCTGTTTGGTCCCAGCCATTGATATAATTCATAAAAGAGGAAAGAGGTGGAATGTTCCCCGAAGTGGAAACTCAAACACGCCGAGCGAAGTCGGCAGCCCACAATACACGGTGTTTCCACCCCGGGAACAAATCCATTTTTGCGCAACTTTCGAATTAAACAGAGCCGATTACGCTAATAAAAGCCCGTTTTTATAATTTGCTCCCTTGGAACTCCATTGAATTTTTTAAGTGTCATTATGTATTTATTAGTCGTCGGAAAGTTCCTGAGTGCTTTCTGATTGAACCGATTCAGATGCTCAATGCACAAATTAATTTCGTTTCGAAATGAACGGAGGGCGGCCTGGGGTAAGACGTGGGGGAAAACGCCATTTCGACCACTGAATTACAGAATAGCAATGCGGATTTCATCGTTTATTGGATCGGAACGAACAGTCGAGCGGCTACTGTGTATCAATGGGCTGTTTATGAACACTGGCGTATGTGTGAGACACTGGATAATGTTCCGGTTTCTGCGGTTTCCGGATTATTTTACTGCCAAATCCATTAGGCACCTATTCTGATCGTAATGGGACGGAGCGGGGGAGCGCCGGGGTCAAAAATCGCCATTGTTAGCGGGAATCAGCCTTGAAACAGCAAATGCAGACCAACCCATTAACTCAAATCACGTTTAGAAAGGAATTATTGGACCTCGCCATTACGAAATAATAATAATAATACTAATAACATTTTTTTGTAAAGAATACTCTATACTCAAGACAAGACCTAACTAACACGTTCATAAATGGAAGAAATAACAAAGGTCCGAAATTAGACACCTGTGGTACCCCAGAAGTGTTTTTTTTTTTAAATAAAAGAAAACAAAATTATGTAGTTATGTAGTACCGATTCTGGCCCATTTTTATAGAAAATCGTAAGTTTCACATTTTTTTCGGACCATTGGGAATGAGTTTCCTGATTCTCTTCGGCTATGTTTGGTCCATCAGAATGTTTTGAAGGCTTTTTGTACAAGTGATTTCTTTTTCGATTGTTTTTTCGACATCTTTTTGCTACCTCAAAATTTTGCCTAGTAAATGCTATTTAAATTGATAAAACAACATACCCCTGTAATTTAAGGTTATGAATCCGCCTTGAATTTTTGCCCTAGACATCCAGATATCAAAATTGTATAATAATGTTTTATTAATATAAGAGGAATGTGTAGCAGCTGCTTTTAGCTCAGATAGTTAGGAAAACAAACGGAAAAGAGGTGAGAAAAAGAGAGCTGGAAAAAATAGATGGCGAGGAAAGAGAGGGAAGAACGATATGGATTGAACGCGACATGATATAGGGGGGGAGGGAAGGAAGAAACCTTGAAAGGCTGGTAGAAGAGAAGGGAAAATGTGGGAAAGAAAGGAACACCGAAGGGGAAGAGGAGAACAGTGAGATAGAGATAGGAACAAAAAGGGAGAGCAAAAGAGGGAGGGACAAAGAGAGAGAAAGAGAAGTATAAGAAGAACGTGTAGTAACCGCTTTTAACTCAGATAGTTATTAACTCACATAGACCAGAAGGAAAAAGAACGAAAAAAGGGGAAAAACGTGGTAGGTGAAAAAGAGAACGAGTAGAAAGAGAAGGTGGGGTGACGGAGAGAAATTTAGAGAGAGAGAAAGTGTGAGGAGGCAGAAGAGAGGAGTAATAAACAAAAAAAGAGGCGAAAAATTGAAGAAAACTAGGAAACAGAAGCAGCGAAAGAACGAAAAAAGAAAGAGAGATGAAGGGTAGAGAGAATGGAGCAGAAAGAGAAAATAAGAAGGAGGAAAAACAGGAAGTGGGAGAAGTGAAAGACAAGCGTGAAAAAGAGAGAAAAAAGGACTTTGAGAGAAATTAGATAACACCGGAGGACTAGACAAAGAAGAAAAAGAAAAAAGGTAAAACAAGAGAGAAATACGGACTGAAAGCGAGATGATACAGGGGGAGGGAAGGGAACTGAGAAAGGTTAAAAGGAGGGGGGAGACAAGAACAATGAGACAGAGATAGGAACAAAGACAGAGAAAACGGGAGTGGAATAAATAGAGAAGGCGAGAGACAGAGGAACAGAGACAGAGAGAAGTATAAAAGGAAGTTGTAGCAACTGCAAAGAACGAAAAAAGGGGAAACAAATAGATAAAGAGGGAAATGAAAAAGAGAACGAGTCGAAAGAGAACACATGCAGAGAAAGGTAGAGAGGTATAGGTAGAATGAGGATAGAGAGAAGCAGTGAAGAAGTAGGGGGAAGAGAGGAGTAACAAACAAAAAAAGAGAGGCGAAAAAATGGAGAAATCTAGGAAAGAGAAGCAGGAAAGACGGAAGGAAAGCAGAAAAAGGCCAGAGGAGAGCGGGAAAGGGATGGAGAAAAAGAAAGAAAGATGAAGGGTAGGGAGAATACAGCAGGAAGGAAAATAATAACGTGGAAACAGAAAGACTGGGTAAAGTGGGAGAAGTGAAATACAAGCGTGAAAAAGAGAGAAAAACGAACTTTGAGGGAAATTAGATAGATAATGGGGAAAGAGCGGAACTGAGAAAGCATGAAAAGCTGGGGGAAGAGGAAGGTAAAGGTGGAAAAAAACACCGATGGGGAAAAGCGGAACACTTGTGGGGAAGCGAGGAACACTGAGGAGGAAAAGAAGAATACCGAATGGGAAAAGAGCAAACCAAGGGGAAAGAAAGGAACATCGAGGAAGAAAAAAGGGACACCAGGGGGGAAACAAGAAAATTCTGTAGGGGAAAAGAAGAATACGAAGGGGAACGAAAAGAGCACCGAGAATAAAAGAAGAACAAAGAGAAAGGCGTGTGTTAATAACGCACGTAGAACAGGAGGAAAAAGAACAAAAAAGACGGACTAGAGGAGAGAAACATGGATGTGGGAAAGATAAACGGGAAGAAAGAGAGGGTGGGGGTGACAAATAGAAACTGAGAGAACGGCACACAGAGAAGGGTATAGAGAGAAAGGGGGATTAAGTAGGGGAAAGAAAGCAATAGGAGGAGAAGCCAAAAGAATGGAAAAAAGGAAGAAATCGAGGAAAAAGAAACAAGGAAGGAAAAAGAAGAGAGGAAAATAGGAAAAGAGACTGAGAGAGCAAAGAGAAATCTAGAGAAAACAGAATTGAAAGAGAAAACAAGAAGGGGGAAGGAAGGAATAACGGAAGGAAACACCGGAGGACTGTGTAAAGAAGGACAAGAAAAAAAAAAGAGTAAACAAAGAGAGAAATACGGACTGAAAGCGAGATGATATAAGAATGCTTAAAAGACTGGGGGAAGACGAGGGAATAGGTGGGAAAGAGGAACACCGAGGGGGAAGAGAAGAACAATGAGACAAAGATAGGAACAAAGGAGGAAAGAGTGAAAGTGGAACAAACAGAGAGAGCAAAAGAGGAAAAGGGACACAGGGAGAGACAAGTATAAGAAGAACGTGAAGCAACTGCCTTTTAACTTAGATGGCTGAATAGAATGAATAAGAATGAAAAAAAGAGGAATACAGTAAAGAATGAGGGAGGTGGAAAACAGAAGGAGTAGAAAGAGAGAAATTGAAGTACCGAGAAAGGAACAGAGACACAGGCAAAATGAGGACACAGAGAAAGAAAGAGTAAGTAGGGAGGAAAGAGGAGTCACAGCAAGAGAAACAAAGAGAACGGAAAAATTTAGAAACTAGGAAAAAGAAGAAAAGAAGGAGTGGGGAAAGCGAGAAAAAGGCAGAGTACAGAGGTAAATAGATGGAGAAAAAGAAAGAGAGATGAAAAGTAGAGAGAATGAAGCAGACAGAGAAAATATGAAAAGGGAAAACAGGAAGACTGGACAAAGTGGAAGAAGTGAAAGCCAAGCGTAAAAAATAGAAAAATAGGGAACTGAGAAAGTATGAAAAACTGAAGGAAAATGAAGGGAAAGGTTGAAAAAAAGAACACCGAGGGAGAAAAGAGCGCCGACAATAATAGAGAAACAAAGACACAGAGAAAGAAGAATAAAAACAACGTGTAGCAACAGAAGGAAAAAAACGAGAAAGGCGGAACTGAAGAGAGAAACAGGGAGGTGGGAAAGATAAAACGGGAAGAAAGAGAGGGTGAAGGTGACGGAAAGAAACTGAAAGAATGGTACACAGAAAAGGGTAAAGAGGATAGAGAGAAAGAGGGACTAAAAAGGGGAAGAAACTAACAGGAGAAGAATTCAAAAGAAGGGAAAAAGGGAAAAAACCAGAAAAAAGAAACAAGGAAAGAAAAAGAGGAGACGAAGATAGGGAAAGGGATGGAGAAAAAGAGATGGAGGAAAAGAGATAGAGAGAGCAGAGAGAAAGCTAGAGAGAACAGAATTGAAAGAGAAAACAAGAAGGGGGAAGGAAGGAATAACAGGAGGAAACACCGAAAGATTGGGCAAAGATGGAAAAGAAAAAAAGAAGGTTAAAAAAAGAGAGAAATACGAACTGAAAGCTAGATGATATAGGGGGAGGGAAGGAAGCTGAGAAATCTTAAAAGACTGGGGGAAGAGGAGGGAAAATGTGGGAAAGAGGAACACCGAAGAGGAAGAGAAAAACAATGAGACTGAGGTAGGCACAAAGGGAGAGAGAGCGAGAGTGGAACAAACAGAGAGAAGTATAAGAAGAACATGTAGCAACTGCCTTTTAATTCAGATAACTAATAAATCACGCACCACAGAAGGAAAAAGAACGAAAAAAAGAGGAACAGAGGGAAGTGGAAAACAGAAGGAGTAGGAAGAGAGAAATTGAGGTACCGATAAAGGTAGAGAGGCACAGGCAAAATGAGGTCACAGAGAAAGAAAGAGTAAGTCGGGGGAAGAGAGGAGTCACAGGAGGAGAAACAAAGAGGAGAGGAAAATGGAGAAAATAGAAAAAAGAAGCAAATAAGGGGTGGGGAAAGCGAGAAAAAAGCCAAAAGAAGAGAGCGAAAAAGACGAAGAAAAATAAAGAAATATGAAGGGTAGAGGGAACCGAACAGAAAGAGAAAATAAGAAGGGGGCGGGAAATAAGAAAAAAAACACAGAGACTGGGCAAAGGGGGAGAAGGGAAAAAACCTGAATAAGAGAGAGGAACGGAGTGAGAGGAAAATCATATAAGGGGAATGAAGGGAACTGAGAACGTGTGAAAGACTGGGATAAAGGGGGAGAACAGATGAGAAAGAGGAACACCGAGGCAGTAAAGAGGAACAGTGATGGGAAAAAGAGCAAACCGAGGGGAAAGACAGTAGTGAGAGAAGAGAGCAACAGTGAGAGAAAAGAATAACACCGACGGGGAAAAGAGCAACATTGAGGAGGAAGAGAGGAACAAAGAAAGAGATGAACAAAAAGAAAGTGAGAACCAAAGATAGAGAGAAAGAAGAATAAGAAAAAGGAAAAAAGCGAGAAAACGAGGAAAAAGAAACAAGGAAGGAACAAGAGGAGAGGAAGACAGGAAAACATGCGGAGAAAAAGGGATAGAGAGAGCAGAGAGAAGGCTACAGAGAACAAAATTGAACGAGAAAACAAAAAGGGGAAAGGAAGAAATAAGAAGGGGAAATACTGGAGGACTGGGGAAAGAGGAGGGAAAAGGTGGAAAAGAGGAACACCGAGGGTGAATAGAAGAACAATGAGACAGAGATAGGAACCAAGGGACAAACAGAGAGAGCAAGAGAGAGCGAGAGGAATAAAGGGAGAGAGAATTGTACGAAGAATGTGTAGCAACTGCTTCTTAACTCAGATAGCTAATAACGCAGAACAGAAGAAAGAAGAACGAAAAAACAGAAAGCGAGACAAAGGTTAGAGGAATTGAGTGAAAGAGGCGAAAAAACTAAAGAGAGATGAAGGATAGAGGGAACGGAACAGAAAAAGAAAATAAGGAGGGGGAAGGAGTAACAGGAGACAAAAACATGGAGACTGGCCAAAGAGGGAGAAGTGAAAGAGGTACGGATTGAGAGGGAATTAATATAAGGGGAATGAATGGAACTGAGAAAGCATGAAATATTGGAAAACTGAGACGGGAAAAAGACCAACATTGAGGGGGAACAGAGGAACAAAGAGAGATGAGAAACAAAGAGGAGAGAGAGAGAGAGAAGAAAAATGTAGAGAGGCATATAGAGAACGAGTAGTGGAGTAACAATAGGTGAAACAAAGAAAATGAAAAAAGGAAAAAAGAAAAGACGAGGAAAACGATTCAGAGAAGGCGGAAAAAACAGGCGGAGGGGACAGAGAGGAAAAAACGAAGTGGGGGGTAGGGAAAGAGGTAGAGAAAAAGAGAGATAAGTGAAAAGTAGAGAGAATGAAACAGAAAGAGAAAAAGGGAAGGGGAAGATATGAATAATAGGAGAAAAAACAGAAAGACTGGGCAAAGAGAGACAGAAATATAAGGTAAGAGGGAAATGATCTAATGGTCAGGAAGGGAACTGAAAGAACATGAAGGTTGGAGGAAAAGGAGGGAAAATATGGAAGTGAGGCACAAAAAGAAAGCACATAATATCGGAAGAAGGAAGAGAAAGTCAGACACTTGTTGAGAAACACAGAAAAGGGAAGAGATAGGCACAGAGGCAGGGAAAAAGAAGGAAAAAAAGAACGAGAAACGCCATTTATTGATACTTAACTCTACAAGAAGATATTTTTCTTCTTTTAACTTTAACTCTTAGTAGTTTTGTGAAAGAAACGAATTTTCCCTCAAAAGAAAAAACCGATTATTGTATTTTTCCACTTGTGGCTATTTTTCTATTGATTCTTCTCCGACTTTAGTGATTATCACTTTTGACGAATGGCACAAACTAAGCAGAATTGGACTAGAAATGCCTTCACATTCTACAGTTGTTGTTACTCAGGCTCGAATATGGCATTAATGTCTGACTTTGGTATGCATTGGTTTGCGCTTCCAGCCAACTTCGAAAC